CCGAAGAAACGAATAACGAGACCCTAAACACGAGCCTAAAACTGTTAGACGAAAGGCGTGATGCCGCCCTCGTCCGAATGGCAGCCCAGAAACAACGAATCAAGAGATATTAGAATCGAAGATCTAACCTTCGATACTTCAATGTCGGAGACTTGGTATTGAGGAAGGTCACATTAAACACTTGGGATCCGAACTAAGGAAAACTGGGACAAAACTGGGAAGGTCGGTATCAAATTATTGAGATCATCGGAAAAGGGTCGTACATACTCGGAACAATGAGCGGTGAACAACTATCGAACAATTGGAACATTACTCACTTGAAGCGATATTATTGCTAAGGTGCGACCCCGGTCACTTTCTTTTACTCATCTACATTTTAGACTAAGACTTGCAGGTACCCGTCAAATAACGACACAATTTTCTAGACCTGAAAGCATGCATTGCATTCTTTTTCCTCTTGAACCGGTTTTGTCCCAAATGGGTTTTCCGGCAAGATTTTGAACGAGATAACAGTGGATTGTGCTAAATTAGAACTGAAGTCAACAACATTCGAGGCTTCTCTACGAAAAACCCTAACTCTGGGGGGGAATAAATGATTTTTTGGCAAGGAAAGTATTTTTGTGCTCGAATAGTCTATGCTCGATCGATAGAATTATCTGTAAGGGGCAAACGGTCAAATGAACCGTGACTACATAGATCACATGAGCCCGGGCGCAAAACACACATCTAACTTAGTATACTACGCACGAAGTTGAAAGTATATCTCTACCTTACGGATAAAAAGTTTACCCTTTGGAAAATATTTCATTTGGCTCCCCAAGGACATTGAGCCCAAGGGCCACTTCGCTCGTGGACTGCCACCCAAGGCAAGGTCTGGACATTTTAGGATATTGAAATCCGAGGGCACGAAACTTATTTGGTAGTGTCCGAACATTAAAAGCTACGGTTGTCCCCATTCGGGGACTATTATCCTAGGAAAGCCCGGAGTAACTCGAGGTGACAAGCCCACTGGGCAACACCCGAACTAAAAAGGCTACGGCCATATTAAAATGGCTCGGAGACGCTCGAGACCTGTAATAAATAACAAAACCTTGAAAAACATCTAAACCGGTTCTAAAGGCTACCCTCGGCAAACTATAATCTAAACACTTATAAGAACTTTGGGGAAACTTTTTCGGACATAATGATACCCTACGATTGCATAAGCAAAATAATATCGAAGGCAAGTCATGTTCGAACCTCCGAACATAACCTGACTATTTCATGCTAAGGCATTTCGATCTTTGCAAACATAAAGAATAAAGCAAAGGTAAACCTCAGAAATTGTCAAAGAGAAAAAGAAGCCTTATATTATATATACATTTAGTCTTTACAAAGGCCAAACGGCCTTGAAAAAAGGTGCAAAAATACAAAACCACAAAAAAACAAAGGAAAACGCACAAGGCACTTAAACGGCCTGGTCTTCGCCGAAGCCCGCCTCGTCGCCAAGATCTACGGAGTCTCCTCCACTTTCGGATCTGCTCGAACCCTCGGAGTCTTCTTCATCCTCAAGATACGCCAACTTCTTGACCTCGGCTTCGATCCCCTTGGCATTCTTAATTTCAGTCGATAAGTTGAAACCTCGAGCATGAATCTGCTCTAGGACCTCCCTTCGGGATTGCCACTTCATGTGCTCGACAGTACTTTTCAATCGATCCCGGGATGCTTCGGCATCAGTCTTATATTGGGGCACCATCTCGTCGGCATCGGCTTTAACCACTTAGCAAGGTTTTCTTGATCAGAGACATCCGAGCTTAGCTGAGATTGGAGCTTCTCAACCTTTTGGGCCCGCACTTTGGCCTTTTCCTTTGCTGCTCGAAGCTGGACCTCAACAGAAGTCACGTGTGACCGAGAAGTCTCTTTTTCCAAGGCCAAGCGGTCCATTATACCTCACAACTCTTCGATCCCGGCCTTGACTGCATCCATCTAGTCTCGGAGCTGGTCGATTAGATCGAACTTCTGTTGGACCTGCGGATTCCGACCGTTAGTCACCGATTCTAGCTCATCGCCACTAACCTCAAATATTCTTACTTTCTCGACTAGGTCGGCATGCTCCTTTCAAGTCACCTCCAGCTCAGCTGGGAGGCTCTTAGCCTCCCTTTCACAATGCTCGCTGAGAAGTTTGTAAGTATATCTCTTCTCAGTGAGCTGTTGGACCTCGGCTTCTAGCTGGATCAGCCCATCCCAATATCGAAGAAAAGTTTCATGATGAAGAACCGAGGCCTACATACGCAAAGAAACATGTTAAGGCTATCTATGAAATAGTCTAAGTACAAATTGAAAGCCATCAAGGGATATCTGAATTTACCTAGTTTAGCGCTTGTTGTGCTTCGTTGAACAGACAAGGTGCATCTGCCTCGTTCATCTTGGCTTAATCTTCCTCGATTCAGTGGTTATATGTCTCCAGAGTATGCATTAAGAGGCATTGTTTCAACAAAGACAGATGTATTCAGCTTTGGAGTATTACTCTTAGAAATTGTTAGTGGCAAGAAAAGCAACAGCTGCTATGATTCTGAGCATCCGCTAAACCTCATAGGACTGGTATAATCTCTAAACTTATGAACTTATCTCATGAAATAGTTATGAAGACTCCTTTTCGTTGGGCTAAAACAGGCTCAAAGATACTTTTAACATGGTGCGATATCGCCCTCTTTGGGCCAAGCCTGCACGGTTTTCTCCAAAAAACCTCACACTATTAATATTATCCAACATCTTATAAGTAAATCATTTTTCTTTTTCACTTTCGATGTGGGACTTTATTTACACATAGCCAACACTTTCTGACTTATGTGCTAAGTTGGTTCTATTGTTTCAGGCATGGGAATTATGGAGAGGAGCCAGCTTTGGAGCTAATAGATGTAACACTAATTGAATCGTGCTCGCGCGATGAAGTAATGAGATGCATTCATGTGGGACTCTTGTGTGTTCAAGACTATGCAAAAGATAGGCCATCAATGTCAAGTGTTGTTTCTATGCTTACAAACGATACGAGACAACCACCACCACCACCAGACCGACCAGGATTTTTCATAGAGAGGGGTGATCAACGAGCACAAATTTCTGAAGAAGTAGAAAGATATTCGATAAATGGGCTATAAATTTCAGAATTAAAAGCAAGATAAGTCTCATCCTAGGCTGCCTTCACAACCATTGTTAGAGAATGGTTCAGAATTTAAAGTCAGTGGATCGAATAAACATATTTTTTTATTAAAATTCCACAGTTAATCAGGGACGGCCCGACTAATTTTGTGGCCTAAAGCCAAACTTTATGAGAGGCCTTAACTTTTTAATTTTTATTTATTTATTTGAAATCTATTTTTTTTAGTTTTTCTTAGATACAAAGTTATTAATAATTTTCTTATAATCAATAACTCCTAATAAGTATTTCTCAATTGACAATATAGCTAATCCATTTAACCTTTCTTGTGACATTGTTCTTAGGTAAGATTTTATCAATTTTAATTTTGAGAACTTCTTTCCGTTAAAGCAACGGTAACATGAGTTATGAACATTATTCTATAAGCAATTTAGGCATTTGGAAAAAAATTAAATCTTTTTATTTGATTAAGTGTATCAATTAAAATGTTATCTTCTAATTGTACTATTGTTCTTAATACTTTTAATTCAGAAAATAAATCTAAACCATCAATATCGAATTGATTATTATGCTTTAAGGAACATTCAAGATTAAGACAATATTTTTTTTCAAATTTCCAACATCTAGTGATCTTAGTTTTTACTACCAAATAGAAAACCAAAAAAAAATTCATATGCTTCGAATTGTTCAAATCTATTTTGAAGTGAAAAAATAGCGTTGTCGTATAGAAGTAATCAACTATAAAGGACTCTTCGAAAGTTTTTGAGATTTCATTATAACATTCGCATCGAATTGTTACGTCCTATATATCACACGTGTCTTACGAAATTCAGGTTCGATATTCATTTCAACTGCAATTTTCTTGGTAGAAATTATAGCAGTTGAAAATCCTTCTTCTCTATATTTGTTAAAGAAAGAAATCAAACTTTTTCACTTTGCAGTACTCTTTTTTAAACTTATACATAGTCTATTAGGTGTAACAAAAAACGGGCCCCCCACAAATATGGGGCCTAAAGTTGTTACTTTACTTGCTTTATGGAAGGGCCGCCCCTCTAGTTAATTATAAGTCTTAGATGTTGTTCTTTCATACATTTTTTCTGAAGTTTCTCTATATTACATCTGTATAAATATGAGTTCCTTGTTTAAAGGAAAAATACATACAATAAATGGCTATGGACACCATTCTTTTATTCCTCATAGTTTTTCGCATTGGTAACAAATGTGAGTTATTTCTAAGTGCTAATTTACAACCTTGATGCATTTTGTAAGAAGATCAGGAAGGAAGTGTTTGGAATATTAGAGGCAGATCCAGAATTTAAGTCAAAGATTATCAATGGCCTTGGTTAAAAAGGTCACCAACTATACTTACAATGTTAGATAATATACTTGCCGCTCATCAGTTGCATAACTTGGTCACCAACTATATTTGTAACATTAGAGAATACACTTGTCGCTCATTAGTTATATAAGTTGATCACCAACTATAGTTGGAGAATACATTTGTCGCTCTCATCAGTTATATAAGCCGGTCACCAGCTATAGTTATAATGTTAGAGAATACACTTGTGGCTCATCAGTTATATAAGCCGGTCACCAGCTATAGTTATAATGTTCGAGAATACACTTGTCGCTCATCGGCTATATAAGTCAGTCACCAACTATAGTTTGAGAATACACTTGTCACTCATCAGTTATATAAGTCAGTTACCAGCTATAGTTATAATGTTAGAGAATACACTTGTCACTCATCAGTTATATAAGTCAGTTACCAGCTATAGTTATAATGTTAGAGAATACACTTGTGGCTCATCAGTTATATAAGTCGGTCACCAACTATATTATAATGTAATACACTTGTCGCTCGTAAGTCAAAAGAGGTTTCAGAGGAGTTTCTGAACTCTCAACTTCTGTAAATTAGACAAAGTGGTAACTGGATGTGCACATCCTTTTCACTTACATGTTCACAAATTGGCTGTCAGTATTACAATTAACCTGTTCATCCCAAATTACCAATCTCCCCTACCCCCAAAGAAGAATGAAGAAGTATAATTCAAGTAAAAGGAAGATCATATAAAAAAAAGACCTATTTTACAATTTTGGTTTTCACCTCAACTCATCACCATTCTGATGATTATCAGTTTCATTGTTTTCTTTATCACTAACAAAAATTAAACGATCTCCGTCCCTGATCAACTCTATATCATCAATCTCAGCTCCATCTTTGCTTATAACTTTGACTTGCAAGATTCCATATCTATTAGAACCAATTTGAAGTAGTTCTTGAAAACTCGGTGGAAGTAAAACAAGCTTACCTCCATTGTCCCCTTTCTCGGGGCAACACACAGTCACTCTAGGAGCGTAAGTCTTGGTTGTCGTGGCACTTACATTTGCCTCGTTTGCAGATAAAACCACGTCGTGCTCATTGGTCTGCACGGCTGACATTATCCCAAATAATGAGTTGTGGAAGTTATTAGTCCTACGTCTAGGACGTGATCGCCCTAATGATCCACCGGATGCTAGAAATGATGCTCCGTGTGATGCAGGGAAGATAGTTGGCTCGCTTTTGAACCTACCAAGAAACCGAACCCCATGTCGTTCCTCAGGGATAGGATCAACGGATCGAGTTCTCATAACTTCCCCGGATTCGAAGAGTTCTTTGATGTCTTCATGTCCTTGTTGCTCAGCAAGATCCCGAGGGGTCCAACCATGTTCGTCTACTTGGTCAACGTTAGCCCCTCGATCCAAAAGGTATTTTACTATTTCCATGTTTCCTTCACAAACAGCAACATGAAGTGCTGATGAGCCGTTGACTTTGGGACGCGTGACATCCCCGCCGTAGCGGACAATATCCTTGAGTAAATTCAAGTTGTTCTGTTCAGCAGCAACGCAGGCGAAATGTCCCACATCACCAGCTGATAGTTTAGCACCGTTGTCAACGAGTAACTTGATCACCGGCTCGTGCTTCCCCGAGATAGCCTCCCACAATGGGACATTGCCTTCTGAATCTGTGTACACAAGAAATAAAATCAACCCTTTGATCTATGTCGTGGAAAGTTCAGCAAGGTCTAATTAGAAGTTCAAAAATGAGTGGAGTGAGGAGCTTTAGGAGGGGGTGAGCTTTAATTGAAGTAGGGGCGGAGCTCCTCATAGAGTTGAATTGAAAAATACCTCTACTGTTGACATCAGCACCAAAATCAAGCAGAAGAACCACACAACTCTCAATTCCTGTAGACGCTGCGACATGCTGATGAGTGAAAACAAATAAGAAAGAAACGAAATGAGAAATCTATTGTACATAGAATTATCCTTTGATAACAGAAGTTCGTATGTGTACAAACCAGAGCGGATCTTCCATTGTTATCCGATTCATTTGGATCAAGACCCCGCTTCAACAACTGATGCAACAACAAGTCATCACCTCTAAGCGTTGCGAAACAAAGGGTGAGAGGCAGATCCATTCTACCACGAGCGAGCATGCGTTCTGTCTCCAGAAGAACTCCCTCCATTATTGGATCCTTTATGTCCTTCAAATGCTGCTCAGCAGAAAGGAAAAAATACAACAGCCATATTTTAGTCGAATCATGTTAAGCGAATTCATCAATGTTAGAAAATGTTTTTAAGGCATTCGTACCTGAAGGAGATTATTCATGATTATGGTCCCGTCCCCAACATTAGCCTGGACGATATTCAGAAATGTGGTACGGTTCATACGTAGTAGCTGGCATAATCTCCTTGTTCGTACGGTAAAGAGTTGAGGCCTGTAACAAAGAACCCCAATTTCACCACAGAGATCACCAGTCTTCGCCTCTCCAACAACCTGAAACATCCATTTTACGTTCAGCTCACCATTGTGTTTTGGAAAAAAAAAATTAAATGTGCTTCATCAAAAAGACCAAATGAATGTACTAAAAATATGAAGTTCCCGTGCATTTGAGATGAAACTTGCCTGTTCAACTCCGTTTTTAAGCACCAATAGATCCTGTCAAATAGATTTGACATTAGACTAGTACTATCACATATTTATAGACTAGTACTATCAAGTAAAATATGTGACGTAAACAAGATTATGGAAAGAGGTTAAAATTACCACAGCTCCTGTTACAAGAATATAGAAATCAGTTGGTGCTTCATTCTGCAAAATGACATCTTCTTTGGGAGGAAAATATTCTGCCTTCATTTCCGAGACCTGGAACCATAGAGCGAGCGTCAAATGCAAAAGAAAACATGCTTACAGATGTAAGACAGGTGATTAATTATCTGTTTCCTAAGTTACCAGCTGGAAGAGTAGATCGTTTGACACCCCACGAAACAAGTAAACCTTATCTACTAAAGAGTAGAAAAGAAAATGCGAAACGCTTGACCGGATGGCTTTAGGAAGAGATTCAAGCGTCTCTTGCTGCTGCAGCCCCTCCGAGTCGGTTCTGAACTTCAAGCACAAGTGTGCAAGCATCTGATCTTGGAGGCGAGCCGGCAATTGGTTCCTCTGTGCAAAGCTTGAAGCTGCTTGAATTGTGTCTCTCTGTAGCAGAAGATCAGATGCATTTTAGAACCTAATAAAATTATAGCTCACTGATAAAATAATCGAGCAAACAACAACAACAAAAAATCCAGTGTAGTCACACAAGTGGGGTCCGGAAAGGGTAGTGCGTACGCAGACCTTACCCCTACCTTGAAAAGGTAGAGAGGTTGTTTACGATTGACCTTCGGCTCAGGAAAGATAAGAAGAAATGAGTAACAACAAGTAGTAACACCAGCAGACCAACCAGAAAACTGAAGTGAACGAAACAAAAAGTGATAACAGAAATTTAAGAATAAGAAAATACAAGACTAACACTATGTAGCACACTAATACAACTGGTATGAACGGTAAAATAATCAAGCAATAGGATAATTTTACTCACAAATTTTCTAGTCCTACTTGTCCCGTGCACAACCAAGTTGGTCATATTTCCTATTAAATATGCTGTCAATCCCAAGTTAAAAAGCATGTAGAAAATATCGAAGATCATCTCCCGCGTATTCTCTGGATGCAGATCACCATAACCAACCGTAGTTAGAGTAGTTATGGACCAATAAATAGAAGTGATATAACGAATCCATAGGCTCTGATTAAGGAAGTCGCCCATAGAAGCTCCGATCCATGTCTTGCTCGGGTTTGGATAATTAGCTGCGATCAGATAATAAAAGCATCCGGCACAATGAACGGCAAAAAGAGTGACCTATTGAGCAAAAAGAAACAATACGTTAATTAGAATTACAAAAAAAGGACAGTTTGGTGCATAAAGCATCTCGCGTTCACGCAGGATCGGGAAAGGGTCGCACCCAAGGGGTGTAATGTAGGCAGTCTACCTGATACAAACATCGGTGGCTGATTCCACTTAATATCAGCGCTTAATCAAAGAAGAGAAAAGTGTACTTACACAAATAAGCTTCGCACACCGAACCCAAAAGTAATTGAAGTTCCTATCTTTCTCCAATCTGTTTTCAAACAAAGAAAGACAAGGTCGGTATTTACTAAACCTTAAGGAAAATATATGCCTATATAGCGTTGATCACTCGAGGTCTCTGAGCAATTTACCTGGCAAACAATGCACTAACTCTTCGTAGACGCCACAAGCGAAGCATATTGAATAAGCCATATTGGCGTAAAGGTTTCGGGGAGATCTTTCGAGCGAGTTCTGAAGGGATTGTTGATATGACATCAAATAAAAACCAAGTACTTGCATACTTCCAAGCAATCTTTCTGTGATTATCGACAAGTAGATACGTTGTTCGATCCAAGTAAGCTACAAAGAAGGTAAGAACGATATCAATTGCGAAGAATCCATTGACAACATTGTCAGTCACGGCGAGTGGTCCTGTTGGTTTTTTCAGAAACCCGAACTCAAACGGGGAAACCCAAGCAGTGTAGACGACGAGTGCAACTAGAAAAGTCTCCCATAACCTGCAAACATCATTTTAACCTGAGCTGATTTTAGCAAAATCCATGTTCATTTCTATGAATCAGATATCTCATATAAAGAACGATGACTCGTGAATTAAGTGTAACATGCAGAACTTGTTAGCACATTTCTATTATACTTGTCTGCAAGAAAAAGCAGAAAATTTGTCACCCTCTTCTAAAAAGATGAAGTTAATGTTGTTGCTAAGTTAATTAGATTTCATGAGTTAACTATCCAAAAAAGAAATTGACATCATTGCTCACAATATTGTTTTGACCGCCAAGGCTTAGGCAAATTGTTTTGTCAAATACGTGTGATCTATAGGTTATGAGTTCGAGCCGCGGAAGCAGCTATTAATTCTTGCATTAAGGTAGGTTGTATACATCACACGCCTAGGGGCGCGACTCTTCTCCCCACCCAGCGTGAATGCGGGATGCTTTGTGCGTCAGACTATCCTTTTTACTTTGTTAAATCCTAGAGAATTTGTAGGTCAACTAGATATGCCTGTACCCAGAACTAAGCTTTGGTTTGCGTTTTGCAGCAATTATGGGCATTAGTTCCTTCTATCTATTTTTGGGCTGGTATTGATGCTAAATTTTAAGATAATGACATGTTTAGACACTGTAGTAAATATAAAATTAGGCAACCTTATTAACAATAAAACAAAGTAGATATTTTGAGGAGCAGTAATTGTCAGTATATGATTTTTATAGGAAATGTCATATGATTGAAACCATCAACACGTGAAACCTACAAGATATTATGGCCCCATGGAGTCTGATGTGATGAAATCTTTATTGGTTTTAGTAAGATCTTAATCTTGAAAATGACGGTCCAGTGCACCAAACCCGCGCTATATGCAGGGGTTAGGAAAGGGTCGGACAATATCAAATCTATCATATGCAGCCTTATTGTGCATTTTTGTAATAGACTGTTTTCACAATTTGAATCCGTTATCTCATGATTATATAAATGATTTTTACGTTTCTTCAAGACTCTACCTCAAAGCAAATAATCTAGAATAGCAATAAAATTAAGAGCACCAAAGAGTGTATGCTATTGGTCAATTAAGTGGAATGCAAAGTATAGGAGGTTGCATTAGGGACAACAAACATTAGGCTCAATGGACAAAATTATTCAATATCTGTGCCATTAAAAGATAACAAGTTCACGTTAAAATAGTTTAGGTGCCGACAAAGAACCCAACAGCATCCTTTTAAGAAAAAAATAGCAATAAAACAAAAGGGCTAAAGAAAAAGGTTTTCATTCGGTCAAAAAAAGGCAACAGGAATAGGAGTAGAAAAGACATAAAGGTATAACAGTGTAAAAGATGTTTTTTGTCTAAGCTACAACATTGGCAGCCTAGAATAATCAGCTTAACCTTATTTTGTACCCCATTGACCAGGAAAAGAAAAAGACACACTCCCCCACAACCCCCCACCCTAAGGGTAAGAATTCAGTCATTTTTCTCTCTAGCATGCTGTTAGACTTGCTAAACGTGAATAATAATTAGTAATAATTCTTTTTTTAATATAAAAATAGTATTCGAACCAGTTTGCGCATACTTTTAGTATTTTATCGGATATTACTAATCTGTCCACCAAAACTTAAGCTGATGGAGAAAAATATTTTTTATCTCAATTGGAATTTACACTCTAATTTTCAATTTTTACTTACTTACTTTACTGACGATTTGCCGAAGGTCTATCGTAAACAGCCTCACTCTACCTGCACAAGGTAGGGGTACTCTTCTCATACTTGTTGTTTATTGACAAAACAAAATAAATAAATATTTTTTTCTTACCGACTGGATTAGATAATTCAATAGTGATTAATTACAAAATTCAAAAAAAGATAAAGGACAGACACGGAACACACGGAGAAAATAAAGCATTGGAAAGATCTCACACATGTTACTCAAATATTCATCTTTTTCTCCAACCGAAAGTCAAAAGAGAAAAGTGAGGCTAAAGGAATTTTCAAAGACAGTCAAATCAAAGTCCATAATATGAAAAAATTTCGTAAATTGAACCTTTGAATTAATCCTATTCATAAAATCAAGAATAATAAGTTTCAAAAGTTTGAGCAAACTTGAGAAAGGTTAAAAAAAAAAAATCGTTTGTCTTGCATATAAAAATAATTAAAAAAGAGAAATATAGTATTTGAGGCTTAAGAAACGGCAAAATACAAAATTGGCTCTGTCGTATTTGTTAAGCAAAAAATGTTTGAAATATATATATAAAATAAAAAAATATTTTGTTGGTTATTATTTTAGAAGCGGCTAAAAATTATAGTACATTTTTTAAAAAGAAATCAGACGTTCTTTTCAATAAGCTCACGGGAAAATTAAATAAAGATGAATGAACAAAGACTTCAAACTAAATAATGCAAGGTGTCGGTAATGTTGTAAAAAATAACATTGTGGTGGAGCATACTAGAAGATCATATATTAAAAAATAATAACTACGAGAGAGAAGACTAAAACCAGCTTTCTACATGGGAAAATAAATTATAGAAAGAAAACAAAAGTATGTTTGTTAATTGTTATGCTAAACTATGAGTAACAGGGTTCAAATTTTAGTAGAGATAAATATGTTCAGTTTTTTTAAAATTACATAATACATAAATAGGCCCTTAAATTTGGGTGTGCACAAATAGACACCTCAATTTATATAAAATTGAACATATAAACACAAATATTGACGTAGCACTAACGTGGCACAGAAATTTTGGAGGTGTCTAGATGTTCATTTTGTAAGTTGGAGTGTTAACTGACAAAGTGAAGACAAGTTAAGGTACCTATTTGTGCACGCCCAAAGTTGGAGGGCATACTTGCCAACTGAGACTAAGTTCAAGTGCCTATTTATGTATTAGGCTCACTAATATTTTCCTATCTTGATTAGCATAGTTCTCGTTAATTGTGTTAGTTGAAGGTAATATATATTTGATTGATAGCGGAAGTTAAGCTGACCATGACCGACACCACCATTATAAAAAAATAAAAAATAAATAAAAAAATAGGGGTTATATTTCTTACAATACTATCAAGAATTAAGAAGCATTAAAACTTATTCATGTTATTCATTCAATCAACTACACTTTGTTTTTTTCTTAAAACACTAGTCTGACTAATTTCGGATTTGAGCGGCGTGGCTTCCTATCAGAAATTTCTCCATTTTCCGGACTCTAAACAAATAGACTCAATCCTATATTCGTTTAAACCCAGTATAATCTACCCTTCATTTCCAATTTTTATTTTTTATAATAACTAAGAAATCATAGGAGCACGATTCATAACTCGTAGGATAATGGATCGGTTATTTCTAATCTTTTGGTGAAAGAGTACTCATCATAATCAAGACTATTCTTTTCTTTAATTCAAGAACTTTCTCAAATCTTCAATATTCATACAAAAGAAAATATGAGAAACACATATAGACATAGAAACAAAGTGGAGAATTCCTAATTAATAGAGAATAGCACGAATCTGAATTAGTCGGACCAATAATTTCAAAAACTAATTAAAAATTTGACAGAATAAAGAAAGAATTGAGAACTTCCGGATAGAGAACGACATGAATCTGAATTAGTCAAATTAAAATAGTTGACAAAACAAAGAAAGAAAAGAGAACGACACGAATTCAAATACTTGTTAAAAAGTTTACCAAACAAAGAAACCAGTGGTTTCAAATACTAGTTTAAAAAAGCGGACGGAAGAAGAAAGAATAGAACGATATAAATCTGAATTAGTCGGACACAAGTGGTTTCAAATACTACTTAAAAAAGTTGACAGAACAAAGAAAGAATAGAGAACTTCCGGATAGGAACGGTACGAATCTGAATTAGCCGAACCAGCGTGGTTTCAGATATTAGTTAAAACTAATAGAGAACGACATGAATCTGAATTAGTCGGACCATTATGGTTTCAAATACTAACGGCACGAATCTGAATTAGTCGAACCAGTGTCATCTCAAATACTAGTTAAGAAAAGTTGACAGAAGAAAGAAAGAATAGAGAGAACCTGTAATGGCGATCATAAGGAGAAATAATAAACCGTTGAAGCTTAACTCTTCGATTACTTCTAGCACCAAGAGAAGGAAGAATACCAGTAGAAAGACTATAATGACTACTATCTCTACTCAATTGTTCAATTTCTTGTGCAGCACCACACATAGAAACTCCCAAAACTCCAAGATTACTATTTCTTCTCACATCTCCCATTTTCTAACTATTATTTTTTAGATCTTTTTTCTCTCTTGTTTTTTCCAGACTTTTGGCTTTTATATATAGAAAGATGGAGAATTCGAAGATGTAATCATAGAGTCTAAAAAAAGAAAATATTTATTGAGAAAAAGGTTGTTTTTTTTAGCAGACACCTAGCCTTGTGAATCTTAATACACGTTGTTGGTAGGTGTTTGACTGATGTGAGAAAAAAAGAAAAAAAAAACTTTAACGGATTTTTTGTTGTTATTTTTGCCTTTAATTAGTTTGTGCACACGTATGGTAAGTATATATATTCTTGTCTTTTCTTATAAAGATTCGAACTACTTACCCTTTTTCCCCTTATTAAGGTGGCTTTATTTTGGCATAAATTCTTTTTTTGTTTGTTTTTAATTACCATCTAGTACTCGGTATAATATGATATAATTAATGTGCTTTTTATCAGGGTTTCTCAATTTTCATAACTTGAATCTGAAAGTTTTGAGGCTTTGATTAAAAGAGCAATATTAAAGTTGTTTTCGTGTAACCTATGAGTTACGAATTCAAGTCGTGAAAATTATCACTAATATTTGTATTAGGGTAGGCTGTCTATATTACACCCCCTAAAGTATGGCCTTTCCTTGAACCTTGCGTGCAAGGGCGGAGCTAGCATAGGACTTGCGGGTTCAGCCGAATCTAGTAACTTTGATCTAAATCCTGTATTTGTCTTAAAAATTCATTGAATATATACGTATAAATTATTAATTTATAACCCAGTAATAAAATCGAACTAAAATCTCGAACCCATAATTTTCAAATTTTGGATACGCCTTCACCTGCATGAATGCGGCATGCCTCGTACATCGGACAGTTCAGGCTGTTATTGGCTTAAGTACAAGTCAAAGCAATCCCTGTGAATATTGGTGTGCATGTCTTATCTTATCACGAGAATAATTAAAGTATAGTAACAAAATATTTTAAAGTTTGAATGGGATTCTTGTAGTTACCTTAACTATCGGTGCTACTCTCTTCCAGTTGTTAGTACGAAATCCTTTCATATTTTTGCGGTGTTTATACTTATATTTTGTCGGAGATTTGCCTAAGATATTGTCGAAGGGAGTTTTGTAATCTTCACATAAATTAACTTATTCAGCTACAATTAATATTTATCTTCGAAATTTATTTGTAATTTTATTACGAGATTTGATTAAATAAATAAGTTTTACACGACATTATATTTGGTTTGGTTTGGTTTTAGCTAAAAAAAAGTCAAACCGAAACCAAACCAATCCGACATTATATGTATAGAAGATTTAAATATATTTGATACATAAAAATATTTATGATAGTTAGTTTATAAATATTTCTTAAATTTTTTCATAATTTTATCTTTTAATGTATTATTTCAAGATTGGACTTATAATTTTTGGATGCTCCATTAAGTTTTATAGTCCATAAATGTTAGTAACTCAAATAAATCCTAAACCAAAATCAAATCAATACTAAGGCTAATAAAAGACATTCAATTCAATTGTACTATGAATGAAAATAGTGTTGGATATCTATTTTTTAGTTTTTCCATGGTTTAGATAAAATGTATAACTTATTTTTCTTTTAGTAGTTAGTCATGTAAATTATATGAATCTATTTGACTGAACACGAAATTTAAGAAAAAATGAAGACTTTTGAAATTTGTGGTCCTATACAAGTCAAAAGGGGGCCCAGAGTATTTGTGTGGTTATAAAAGCTTCTCATTAAGGGTAAAATTGTAAGTTTAAGCTAAATTATTTTTAAATATAGAAATTGGTCATTCTCTTTGGAACGGATCAAAAAGAAAATAGGTTCACATAAACTGACACGGAGGGAGTAGTACTTATTAGTCATAATTTTATTTTATTTTTTGGTAATTAAATGATTTTATTTACCAGTATCAATATGTACAAACAACAATTCAAATTGAGCCTAGACAGTCCCTAGGCTCAAACAACTCTATCTACTCAACAACCACACAATTCTAAGGATAAAAGTCCAGTTCTTCAAGCTTCTTTGTTAATTTACTCTGCATTAATCCTCTACTTATCACCTCTTGGATAATGTGTCTAATTAGCACTTCAGTTTGTTGTTGTTGCCCTTGAAAAACTTTCATATTCCTTTCTCTCAATATATGGTATACATCACAAGCCAGAGTTATTCTATATATTTGCGCATCTGCATTTCTGCCCTTTGCGTTGTCCTCTGCCCATTTTATCTCCCTCTGCCAGTCTAGAGCACTTCTCGATATGCCTTGCCATCTCAATAACTTTTTCCAGATTTTTTCAGAGACCACACACCTAAAAAAATAGGTGCTCTATGGTCTCATTTTCTTTATTACACATAGAACAACTTAGATTATCAGTTATCCCCCAGGCATTCAATCTATCCCTTGTGAGTAATCTTCTTTGAATAGCGAAGTTCAGCACAAATATCCATTTTGAACCTCCTGCATTGTTGTATGTCAGCCTTCTCCAGGTCACTTTCTGAAACTCCCCTCGCATGGTATTGTATAACTTCTTAATAGAAAAGAAGTGCCAGCTAGTCACTTCTTGCATAGTGTATACCATTTCTTCAAAGTACTCTTTAGCCTTGATAATCTTTTGAACTATCGAGGATGCATACCTAGGATTAAATTCCCATACCAATTGTCTCTTCCCATAGTACATATGGATCCATTGTACCCACAACTTGTCTTTATTCTTACAAAGATTCCATAACAACTTACATATTGCAGCCCTATTCCATGTGTATATATCCAACACATTGCAGCCCCCAGCAGTTTTTGGCGTGCACACTTTCTCCTATGCTAGAAAAGCCTTTCTTGATGTTTCTACTCCACATGTCCACAAAAAGGTTCTGCACACAGCTTCTATCTTCTTTATCAACTTTTTAGGCAACACAAAAATCTGAGACCAATATATTTGAATGGAGAACATAACAGTTTTAATCAGTTGCAGCTTTTCAGCATAGGAGAGATATCTTGAGGTCCATGAAGTTATTCTGCCAGGTATTGTTTCCACCAATGGTTGGCATTGTGTCATTGATAACCTCTTGGTGCTAAGTGGTACACCCAAGTATTTAAAAGGTAATTCTCCTTTAGAAAATCCACAACCTGTAGCATCTCCTGTTGTACTTCATGTGGCACACCTCCAACGTAGATGGAACTCTTAGCAACATTTGCTTTAAGTCCAGATGCTTTGGAGAATTCTGTGAAGTATTTATACACCATTTGCACAGATACAGTGTCTCCCCTACAGAATAATAACAAATCATCCGCAAATCCTAGTTGTATAATGTTTAATTTGTCACATCTTGGATGGAAGTTAAAGTTAGGATCATTCCTCAATGTCTTCAAGCGTCTAGTAAGTTATTCCATACCAAGCACAAACAAATAAGGAGACAATAGATCACCTCGTCTCAGTCTTTTCCTAGCTTGGAATGGTTCTGTAGGTTTCCCATTTATAAGAATCGAATAGGACACAGTGCTCACACATATCATTATCCATTTAACAAACTTCTCAGGCATATTCAAGCTAGTTAAGACTAGTTCAAGAAACACCTATTCAATGGAATCATAAGCTTTCTGCAGGTCTAACTTTATCATGCATCTAGGTGAAATCCCTTTTCTTCCAGCAGATGTGACAATTTCATCGCAAAAGCGGAAAATTGGCAGAAACATAAGAATCGAAAATGGCCATTTTTCTTTATTTCGTTTAGACTTTTAAACCTCGATTTTTGGGCGATTTGAAGGAGTTTTTCAAAGGTTCGAATTGGATATAGTGTTCTATAATCAAAAGTTATTATATTTCATAAATCCATGTCTATATTCATCCTTTATTTCGGATTTAGATGGAAGAAATTGAAATTTTTGTAAAACTTTCCAAAAATAAAAATTTAAGATTTGAAGGTTCATTTGATGTCGGAATTTGATAATTTTTGTATAGTTGGACTCGTCTCGGAACGGGTGTTCGAATTTTGTAAGTAGTTTCCGAGATTCGAGATATGAGCCCCACTGATGATTTTTTAGATGAATTTCGAATTTTAATCTAAAAAATTAGTAAATTCATATGGAATTAATTCCTATGATTTGTATTGAGTATATTGAATTATTTATGACTAGATTTGAGGATTTCGGACACGAATTCGCGAGGCAAAGGTTTATTGGATTCTTGAATTTGGTTGCAAAGCGAGGTAAGAGTCGTGGTTAACCTTGACTTGAGGGAGTAGGACTTATTTGTCTATTTGCTACGTAATTTAATGTGCGGGTACAACGTATATGTGAGGTGACGAGTACTTATGCGTTGTGGTTGAGTAAAAGCATGCGGGTGGAATTTGTTTATCGAGAATAATTTCCTATTTAATTAAGATGTTCCTAATTAAGTTTATTATTGATTATTTGATCATTATTCATGAAATTATTATTTATTTAATTATTGTTGAATATTTTGGAAGGTGAAGTCAGTATTCTGGTATTGAATTGATTGATAAGTGTATATCCCTGCATTTAAATACTCTTCTGAATTTATATTATTATTTTCATGGTAAGGAAGAGTATAAAAGCACGAAGGGTGATGTCGTGCCATTTTTTTTTATCATTTATACTATCATTGTCATGGTGAGAAAGAGTGTAAAAGCATGAAGGGTGTTGCCGTGCCATTTTTTAGTGTAAAAGCATGAAGGGTGATGCCGTGCCAAAAGTGAGTTAAAGCACGAAGGGTGATGCTGTACCGACTATTATTATTTATTTATCAGTTTATAGGAGGAACGAAAGTAAAAACACGAAGGGTGGTGCCGTGCCATTCTCATATTATCAATTACTCATTTTATTGTTGATGAATTAATTGGCTGTTATGCGACACTCCTCCTGCTGAAACTTCTATATCATTCCCCTTCGCATGTTCCCTCCCAAATTTATAAATTGTTATTTATTGTGTTATTGTTGCTTCGTATTTGTATATACTTGTACAGGTTATTTACGTACGTGTCCTGTCATAGCCTCATCACTACTTCATCGAGGTTAGGCTCGACACTCACAGAGTACATGGGGTCAGTTGTACTCATACTACACTCTGCACGTCTTGTGTAGATTTTGAAGTTGGTC